TGAAGGAATAACACTGTCTGTGTGTGTCTTAGAGGTACTGCATGCATAGCATCCTGCGTCCTTTAAGATTTAGAGATTAATAGTTTTGGGAGATGCTGTCAAAGAAGCCTCATCAAGTTGTACAGTCATACAGCAAAAGAACCACACAGCATGGAAACAGACCCTTAGTTCCAACTAATCCACGCCAACTAGATATCCCAATCTGATCTAGCTCCATTTGCCAGCATTTGGCCTGTATCACTCTAAACCCTTCCTATTCATGTACCCATCCAGATGCCTTCTAAATGTTGTAATTGTACCAGCCTCCACTATTTCTTCTGCTAACTTGTTTCATGTACACACCACAAATTGTTAATATTCAGAGTCTGATCTAACTGTTGTTCAGAACTGAAGGGCTCTGGAAAATGCACTAGGCCAGATTTTGTGGGCAGAGACGAAGCTCCAACGCTCATCAAGAAAGCTGCCCGTAAGGGTCTAGCAAGCTCTGTGGAATTAGTTTTATCTTTTCTGTCATTATTTTAATTCTGCTACCAGCTGTCGGGGAATCTGTAGTCTGAAGGGAATGAAGAGGACATAAGGTGGCTACAAAAAGATACAACAAGGTGCAGGGCTGGATGAACACAGCAGGCCAAGCAGCATCATAGGAGCAGAGAGGCTGACGTTTCGGGCCTAGACCCTTCATCAGAAAAGGGGGAGGGGAAGGGGGTTCTGAAATAAATAGTGAGAGAGTGGGAGGCGGATAGAAGAGGGATAGAGGAGAGGATAGGTGGAGAAGAAACAAACAGGTCGAAGAGGTGGGGATGGAGCCAGTAAGGGTGAGTGTAGGTAGGGAGTTAGGAAGGGGATAGGTCAGTCCAGGGAGGACGGACAGGTCAAGGGGGCGGGATGAGGTTGGTCGGTAGGAGATGGAGGTGCAGCTTGAGGTGGGAGGAGGGGATAGGTGGGAGGAAGAACAGGTTAGGGAGGCAGGGACAAGCTGGACTGGTTTTGGGATGCGGTAGGGGGAGGGGAGATTTTGAAGCTTGTGAAATCCACATTGATACCATTAGGCTGCAGGGTTCCCAAGCGGAATATGAGTTGCTGTTCCTGCAACCTTCGGGTGGCATCGTTGTGGCACTGCAGGAGGCCCAGGATGGACATGTCGTCTGAGGAATGGGAGGGGGAGTTGAAATGGTTCGCGACTGGGAGGTGCAGTTGTTTATTGCGAACCGAGCATAGGTGTTCTGCAAAGCGGTCCCCGAGCCTCCGCTTGGTTTCCCCGATGTAGAGGAAGCCACACCGGGTACAGCGGATGCAGTATACCACATTAGCAGATGT